TTCTTCCACCTTTGACAGTCATCTCCCAACGTTTGCCTATCTCTTGCAATTGACTCGCTACTCCTCCCTCACTAGCGTCCTCTTCCACTACCACCAACTTCCGACTTCCTTCATAACTGCTATTTCTGACCACCTCAACCCTCTATTCTCCCGTTGCGATCGCCTTCCCAGATGTCCTCTGCTGTTATAATTTCTCATCTACCCTCTTCTTTCACCATTGCATCTCTTCTTCCAGCCCTATTCTTTGCTGCTATTCTCCTCACAACAATTACCCGTCTTTGTCTTGAATCACCCCATGAATCCCTCATATCATTTGCTATCGCGTTCTCCAGAGAGAGAGAGAGAGAGTGACAACCACTTCCTTAGTTAAAATTAATTTAATTAATTGATTATATGTTTATTATTAATTGAGTGCTTATGTGCTTAACTGTTATTGATTGTCTTGATAATTATTGACTTGCTTGAGTGCTTGATTAAATAGATAGGTTAGAATAGAAATTAAACCTGTCTGATTTGCTAATTTTAACAAGTTAGAAATCAACAAGTGGATAGGAATTAGAGCTTAATTCACTTTAAGGACATCATTCTTAACCTCTTTACACAGTTGTTATTCACTGGACTCTAGCTCACTGTTTACTATATATATGTAGGTGATCGAGCACCGGATCAAAGCTAGTGGTGTTGACTCGAATCCTAATTTTGTCAAGCCAACCAGTGTGCCTCACCACAAGGTTCCGAAGTAAAACGTGTCATGGCATGGGTGTCTTGAATTCACCCTTTTGTAATTGTTATTTTGGATGCAGTGTTTTTATGACTTTTGTTACTCCTACTTTTACTAAGGGTTTTAATTCCTTAAATTGTGTTTTGTTATTGTATATAGATGTATTGTGGGCTTAAGTGTTGTGAATATGTGATTATGTATATGAATGTTTGTTTCTATTTAGGTTCTCATTGGACGTTGTGTTTTATTATTGATTGGCTTCTGCCAGTCCCTATTTGTCGTAATTATAGTTTTCTTGTTAAGCAGGCCTTCGGTAATCACGGAGTACTAGCCGGTTACGATGCTAAACCCATAGGGACGGGTTTGGATCGTGACAGAGAGAGAGAGAGAGAGAGAGAAGTTTCAAATCTAGGGTTTGTTAAAGAAAAAGAAGAGACAGTGGGGCCACGATTCGTATGGAATGAGGGATGGTACATAAGTTGTGAAAGCGCTGAACGACAGTTCTGGAGAGGATGAGGGACGATGGGAAGGAAGATGAAGGGTGAGGCAGAGTTGTCGGAGGTGGAGGACAATTGGCCGATGGTAGGACTAAGTGGCGGTGAAGGATAACTGGCAATGGTTATGAAGGTGAAGGAGATAGTGGTAGGAGGTGATGGGATGAAATTAGGATTTTAAATGTGAATTAGTGTAAAGAGAAAGATGGATCAGTAGAGATGAAGATATATTAGGAATTATGAATAATGTAATAAGGTAAAAGGTGATGTAATAAGAAATAGTATGTAAAGAGAGAAGTATATAGCATAAACAAAATTACCGATAAAAAGGTATTACTATGCTTGGTTATCATTTTTCAAAAATACTTTTCAGAAAATTTTACTTTTTTATTTTTCATGTTTTTTTGTTTTTATTGAATTTTTTTAATATTTTGAGCAATTTTTTTAATTTTTAAACATACCTAACATATATATACCTAAAAAATAAAAATAAAAATTGAAAAAAATCTTTTAAAAATTCACTAAATACCAAAAATATAAAAAAAAAAATACGAGAATTCAGTACATTTTTTATATTTTTATGTATTTATTAATTTTAAAAAATATTTTTTCACAAATTTTTTACTTTTTAGATACATCTAAGTAAGGTGCATCTAAAAAAATAAAAAAAATACTTAAAATTTTAAAAATATTCACTAAAAATTTAAGGGAGATTTACCAATAAATCTCAAAATTTGAACTTATGAACCAATTGGTCCTATTTTTATTCTATTAAACCGTTTAGTCCCATTTAATTGTGAGGGACCTAATTACCCTTATGTATCCTATATTTGATGCGGCTGGGGGCTTCAATGTGTGGCTCACGTGCGCGATTAGTAAAATGGATGTGTGGTGTGTTGCATGTGATACACTGCCATGGCGTCACACAATGGCAAACCGCTGTAAGGGGTTTTTATTTGGGCTGGGCATTCTCTCACTCTCAGCATTCTCTCTCTCTCTCACATAGAGACCCAGCCACACACATAGCTCCTCTCTCTAGCAGACACAAGACGCCATTAACACACACAGCAGTAGATCGAACACATGTGATTCCATATCGAACACATCGAACATCATCGAACACATCATCATCCGAGGGTGATGGAGATGGCTTCAACACATCGAACACACTGATACATCGAACACATCGAACATACTGATACACGCAGACACACAGATAAAACACATCAAACACCATCGAACACACATGTGATTCCAGATCGAACAAATCGAACACACTGATACCCGCACACACACAGATGGAAGACACTGATACACGCAGACACACAGATGGAACACCATCGAATGCAACCTGGAGAACCTCTCGAATAGTCTGGACCCGACCGACCCAGATCTCGGAGGACGGTTCTGGTTAAAGCTCTGGTTCTAGGTCCGGTCCAGCGCCTTAGGAGGAGGAGGAAGATAGTCTTTTTCCGGATCTTCAACGACCCGGATCGAAACTTCATCGGTTGGGTTTTGGGGGTTCTGGGTTTCCTCCGGAACATCGATCTGGAGATTGAAATCTGGAATTTGCAGAGTCTCATCGGGTTGAGGAACGAGATCGGCTCGGCAAACCGGACAAGTCACATGAGAATTGAGCCAAGCATCGATGCATTCGGGGTGAAACACATGGTCGCATTTGGGGATCAATCTGAGATTCTCAACGTCTTCGAATTCATTGAGACAAACACATGGTCAAGCCCTCTCAAACACACTGATGCACGCAGACACACAGATGGCTTCAACACACACTCACACACACACACACTAATACACACACACACACGCGCGCGAATCTCTGAGGGTGTGCCATACCGGAATGAAAGTGGGACCAAATCAGTGAACCAAAAATGACAGTTTGTAAATCAATGAAAGGGCACTCTCGTCCATAGAGTGAAACAAAAATGAAAGAAAAAAACAAAAAGGACCAAATCAACACATCAGCAGGACTATTTGGTATAATAGAATAAAAGTGGGACTATTTGGTATAACAGTTTGTAAAGTAGGATTTATTGGTAAATATCCCAAAATTTAAAGGGTGATGCACCAATAAATCCCAAATTAACAACTTATACACTGTTTAGTCCTAAAAATTTTCTTATAGACTAAAAGGTCCCATTATAGGGAAATTGACTATAGAGGGTATATACATCAAACATCATCATCATCAAAACAACATCAAACATTATCATCAAAACAACATCAAACATCACAAACATTATCATCAAAACAACATCAAACATCACAAACATCATCATCAAACAACATCAAACATTATCATCAAAACAACATCAAACATTACAAACATCATCATCAAAACAACATCAAATATCACAACATCAAACATGGGCAGACTGATTTATGAAAACAACATCATCACCATCAAAACAACATCAACTACACCATCATCATTAAAACAATATCAAACATCACAACATCAATATTAACAGTCCTACAATGAACCAGAGCATTTGGAAAAAACATAAACTTTTCTAATACTGCCAACATCATATCAATCTACAAGTAACATTACATTTTCTCTTTTGAATCAAAAAAAAGGAGTAACATAAACCCAATGAAGTAGAACGCTGCCACTGTGTTAGTTTCAACCATAAACATTAGTTTCAACCTGCAAACAACAACAAAGAACCCAACATAAAAAATCAATGGCTGCCACAAAAAAAAAAAAAAACAACCTATTAAAAATTGCCCAGCCCTATGAACACCCCCAAAAACGTACACCAGAACACCCTCTTCGTTCTCGCCTGTGTTCTCATCGTTGCTTTGGGTCGGTTAGGGTTTGGAGTCCTCATTAGCAACATTCCCAAAGTTCAAATTCCCAGAAAATGAAGAACCCATTTCCATCTGAGAAAATGAAGAAATCGAATTATCCGAAACGGGTCGAAACGGATTAAACCCATCAACATCATTATCAAAACTACAAACAAAGATATCGTAACCAACATCTGAGAAATTTATTTCAAATTCTCAATTGCAAAAAAGAGAGGTTGGTTATGGTATATTTACATAAATATATATATATATATATCAGCACATCGATCGATCGTGAGGCTCTCTCTCTCTCTCTCTAGATTCTCACTAAAAAAAAAAAACCACTTTTTGATTTTCTGTTTCAATTCGGAAACAAAAGGATTGAAGTTATAACAGAACGATGATCAGAAGTTTGCCGGCGGAAATGGAGGTTCCGGTGAGATCAGGCATCTTCCGGTGGAGGAAGGTTAAGATCGGGACCGTGGAGGAATTTGCTCAACGGACTACGGTCAGCGTCTCAAGTGTTCGAGATTGTAGATTTCCATGATAGTAGGGATTGATCTGCATGCTGATCTGAAGAAATCGAACACTCGAGCCCTGCCCTCCTCCAGGCTATCAAACATCAACATCAGATGTAGGTTTGAGGGAGACGAAGGAGTTGCAGCTATGGAGTTGATGTTTATGTTGATGTTAGGGAGACGATGTAGTTGATGTTATGTTGCTGTTTATCTTGATGATGTTAATGAAAATTAAATAAACAACATTACTAAAATAAAATGAGACTAAATGGTGCATAAGAAAATATTTAGAACTAAATGATTCAACTTTTTGAAAAATAGGATTTATGAAAAAATTTTTCATAAAAAAATACGTAAACCTAAAAATTTAATTCAAAAAATTCTAACCAAAGAAACGAAAAAGGTGTCGCCAGTTGCACGCAGCGCTCTTTTTCTAACGTAATCCCATTTTAACCGGTCCTTCCTTACAAAACCTGAGAGAGAGGGAGAAAAAAAAAGAAAAAAAAAATCCATGTGTTGTTGACCGTGCCTTTGTCCGCGGCGATCGCAACGGTCACTTCTCTTTCTCTCTCCCTGACTCCGACAACTCATCGATCGTTCTTCACTCAATCTCGGCCACGATGACCGACCCACAACAACCACCCACTCACACTCACTCCTCCCCACAAACCCACAACGACAAAACCAACAACGAAATCACTACTACTACTCACATCCCAATCGAGATCGTGAGCGACGAAGAAATGGCTCTCATCGAAGCTGCTTTTGCCGCCACTCGCTCTTCTCTCACCTCTTCTATTTCACTTTCTTCTTCTTCTTCTTCTTCTTCTTCTTCTTCTTCTTCTCTCTTCTCGTCTCAATTTCAGCGAAATGCTGCGAGGTCGATTCAGTCCATCACTCTCCTCTCCAAACGGAGTTTATATACGCAACCCACTTCGGTGGGAGACATAGAGGATGTTGTTGGAGGTGGAATTAGGAGGAAGAGGACTACCCTGAAGAGTAATCGACCCGTTGACTCCTTTTTGCATCGCTTTCGGAGGAAGAGAGCCTTGTCTGTCACTGATATTACTGCCACGGTAATATATGTGTCTTTTGTTTGTTTGTTTGTAGATTTTCTTTTATTTTCTTCTCTTTTCTTTTTTATCTTCTTCTCCTTCTTCTGGGTTTTCAGGAACGAATTCTTGTGTGTGTGTGTGTGTTTTTCTTTCTGGAATTCGGATATTTTAATTGTTTTTTGGAATTCGAAAATTGTTCAATTACTTTTACTGTTGTTGTGGTGTTGCTATATTTGGGATAGAACTGAGTTTGGTTGTTTTTTTAAATGGTTTTAATAGTTGTGGTGTGGCTACTATGGAACAATAATTGTTGTTTCAATTTGAATATATGAATGATTTGGAGTCGATTAATGAAAGCTAATTGATTGTCTACTAGTATACGCATAGTTTGAATTTAGATACAGGGGGCTACTTATGAATGGTTCCTTGGATTTTCTTGATTCTGTTTGGTTTCCAAGAACCAAGATTTCAGATTTTATTTATTTTTATTGCGAAAGAAGAAGAGATAAGAATCAAAGAATTAAAAAGGAATACAGTCTACAAACGCATCCACAACAAAAAATTAAAAACAAAAAGAAAACAAGAATTCAGAAAAAGCAAAATAAAGGAGAATGAAATCAACAGGCAGAGTTCATAGCATAATCATGGTTAGTTCATGAATAAAATTTAGAATCATTTCAAATTGGATATGATATAAATTGCTTTCTGTCTACCGAATTTCTATTATTTCAAGGCATATATAGAAACTTCAATACTATTTTGTTTTGTTTGTGGCATTGACCATTATGTATAAGTTAACATGCAAATTTTTGGAAGGATTTTCAAGCAATAATTGCTTTGAATCATTAAGCGATCATTCATCTTTTCCATTTTTTATGGCATTCTATGCAGTGAATTCTGTAATTTACTGATTGACAATTTATTATAAGTACTTTCTGGCTGCACTTTATTAAGCTAGTACACACAGAGAATTTGGCAAAAAAAGACTTCATATTTTCTAGAATTATTTAGGTTGTGTTTGGATCATGGATTTGGATAGGGATTTGAAAGGGAAAGGAAAGGGTGAGGGAAATAGAGAAAAATGTGGGTGGTTCTTTAGGACTTGAAAAATGTAGAGTGGGTGGGACTCAGGTTCTTTAGGACTTGAAAATATAAATTAATATATTTTAGTAGTTGTGTGCACTCAAGTTAATTATTAGGTGTCACCGCATTAATCCGTAATCCTATAAGAATAAGGCATCCTTGACCCTTGAAAACCTGGTAATCATTTTCACATTATGATTTTGTATATAAATGTTTTTTCTTTATTTTTTTTGAAATTTTTTCTTAACATGGAAATGTTATTTTTTTTTCTTTTAGTTTTGGTGCAGGGAAATTGATTAGATTTATCTCACATTCGTCTTCATTTCATGTTAACATTAGGAATGGTGTGAAAAAAAAATGGAATTCTCTCTACTGCTTGGCCAACCGGAAAAGACTGAAGCAATGAAAGCCGGTATTGCTCGCCATGCAGTACTTGAGGAAGAGGTATGCTTTTGAACTCTAAACTAGATATCTTTAAATTATTTGATATTCTCAGCTTATCCCGAAAAATATAGAATTCTTTCATGCAAGCATACTTTTTGTTGACTGTGACTATCATAATTCTTACTTGTAAAATAGTTCTTTTCTGAGATCATTCTATCATCTTCTTGACGAATTTATTTTAACTATGACAGTCAGTTTAGTTGTTTGCTATCATTGAAATCTTGTTAGTTGTGCAAAATAAATTTCTTGCAATAGAAGTAACTTTTCAAGATGGAAAATACTTTTTACAAACAGAATGGTACCAAGATCTAGAGTCTGTGTGAGGTTACACCTTTTTTTGTTTTTGAAAAGTTTTGATAGAATTTAGCTTTTATATCTTTTGCCTTACATAATAAATATGGTCATGGAGCCGCTCGAGATTTTCTATAGATGGTATTTGGATTGAGTAGTGTGTGTGTCAATTTCCGACCACACTGCCAATCAAGCACTCAGTTAGAGATCACTGGCAAAATAGATTAAGCCCGAACGACCTGTCACAAAAAGAAGAGATTTCGGCGATGGTTCGTCCACCTGGGGCACTCCGACGATCAAGTCAGTTATCTCTCAAAGATAGCAAAAGTACTTAACTTACTTATTCAGAATACAAAAAGTCTACCTTAGACCCATGGGGGTGCCTCTTTTTTATAACCAACACAATCCTGGTCCCAATAGAAGCCTAGCTTCAATGGACTTAGGATTACTGCTTATCTTGGACTCCCAGTAGGATTGGGATAAACTCTCTAAGAGTCTTATGTTTATCCAAACTGAAGTCCTCTCCCATTATAAGACTCTTATCCCTTTTCCGCTTATCCCGGATTCCGGTATTCTCGCTGATAACCTCGGCCTAGCCGAGATCACCTCAGCGTTATGACTAGGACACGTGGCACCCTGACTGGCACTTCGGTGACATTTCGGCCACGTGTTGTCACTCAAAAATTTTGTCCCCACAACTGCCCCCTAGGTTCTATTACCTCGGCATCCTGAGATAATGAAACCTATATCGTTTCTTCCATTTAGCACGTCGGCTAAGCTCACTCCATTCGTTCATTACCGAGGTCATAATACGTCGGCTCAATATGACCAAAAACTTACAGTCTGCTTTCACCAATGCCTCAAAATCATTAACCAAGTTTGCTCAAGTTTCTCAGCTGAGATCATCCTTAAGCCGAGGTTTTACTCCGTTAAATCGAGAATTCTAAGAGCTTCAACACGCGTATGAGCTGTCACGCGTGACAACTCAACCGTTCTTGCCACACGTCTCTCTCTCTTTGGGCCGTACCCGACACGTGCCACTAAGTCACATTGCTTTCACATGCGCCGTCTGACACGCACGTCGTTTTAGGCATATTAATTGCCTTTTTGCTGCCATTTTGTGTTTCAACAAAACTTCATTCCTCTCTCTTCGTCGTTTCACCTTTGCATCCTCATTCCCGTGCAAGCTCTCTCTCTTTTCGCTCTCCCAAATTTGCCATTGATTCAAGCGTTCGAGCTCTGCAACTTGCTCCGTTCACCTCCTCCGGCGAGATTTTTACCGCTCCGTCGTTTTTGCAACCGTCGTTTGACTTCGGCGATCCTCACACCGGCCTCACTCTCTTTGGTAAGCCACTGTTCCTCCTGGTTTTTAGTCTTTGATTTACATTGAACTCTATCATATTTGCAAACTTGCTCATGTTTTTTATCGTGTAATATGTACCTCGATTTCCACCATGTGTTTGAGCATGTTTCCTTTGTGATTCTGTTTTTTGCCCAATCCTTTATTGAATACTCACATACCTGCACAAGCTTTACCACTGTGTTCTTGATGATTCATCACTGTTCTTGACTCTGAATTACATTCCTGTCTCTTTTTTCTGTGTTTTTTTCAGATTCTTACATTCAATCCTTGTTTGCCTAGACCTAGGTTTGGGATTTGTCTATAGAACTTACGAACCTTAGGAAGAACTAACACAAATTCCCCTTAGATCCATACAAATTCTTACCATAGTATATATTTAGGTCTTAGCCGAGGTATTTCAGACCCCTATAAAACACTTCCTTCCGAAATCCAATACTCTCCCCCCCCTAAGCCGATATCATGACCAAGTTGGAATATTTCAGGCAGGAGTTTTCTATCCTAGCCGACGTCCATCTGAGGTTGGCTGGGGAGGATGACTCCATCATGCCTACAATCGATTCTATGCCTTTCCCCATTATAGCTTTCATAGAGTGCGGACTTAGGCTCCCATTCAACATCCTTTTCCAAGAAATCCTTCATTACTATAAATTGAACCCAATGCAGCTTGCCATCAACTCCTACCGAGTTATCAACGGTATAATAGCCTTAGCTAAACAAGAGCATGTTAGGGTAACTTTAGCTGATATCCAATACTGCTACACCATGTGTAGCCTTAAGTTAGAGAAATACTACATTTCCTACCTCAAACCAAGGTCCACAGAGTACAAAATTGTTGCCGACCTCCTAGACTCCAACAAAGGAGCTGGGGACGATTACTTCATTGTCTCGGGGAACTGGGAGTTCGCTCCAGATGAGGACCTCCACCTCTACCCTCTTAGCCGAACAGTTTTCGTAGAGGGTAATGGTAAGAGCCATGTGCTTATACTTACTTGTTTTCAAAGTCTTCAATACTTTGTTCTTTTGTTCATTCTAACGTTTGTTTTCCTTGCAGCTCTTCCCCAGCAAGCAAAGGATTTCCGTAAGTCCTTCTTCCCGAGCAAAGGCTTGAAAAAGCTGTTAGACGTGCCAGTTCACAAGCAGAGAGGCCCCCTACTGCTCAGCTTCATCCCGACTTACAAGTCGGTTCTTCCCGACATTCCGAAGAAGAAGAAGAGCAAGTCTCCTCCGTCCGCCACTACACCTCCGACAACTTCATCATCTCGACCAGATCAGGGATCAACCTCTGATCCAGCTGAGCTACCATCAACTTCGGCTCTATATCTGATCCCTCCATCTCAACGCCAACGAAGACGCCGAACTGTAATCGCCGCTAAGATGGGCCGCAAAAAAGCAGTCGCAGAGGATCTTTTGCCCGACATTCCTACCACCGTTGACGCTCAACCAGCATCATCTCAGCCTCAACCAAAGAAGAAACAAAAAAGACTGAAGAAGGCTCATCCAAAGGCAACGGTGACTCAGATTGATACTGAAGACACCTTGCCAATTTCAAAATTGGCTGAGTGAAAAGACCCCTTCCGCCGCCGAGAAGAGGCCGACCGAGGCCGAACCATCCCAATCTACTCGGTCAAAAAGGCCAAGGTCAGAGTCGGCGACAGCTTCGGCTTCTTTGAAATCTGACTCCCCCTGGGCTCCCCCAATCACAATGGAGGACAGGCCGGTCAGAGTAAGCGACAGCGCCGTCGACATTAACGTCGGCGTTGCCCTTACAACAGCCTTGCTCCTTCTTGAAGATCTCGATCGTAATGCCGAGATGAGCGAGTATGAAAACTTCGCTTTGATGCTACAGCATTTTGTTCAAGTAAGTTCCTTACACTTGGTATTTTTCTTTCTCTATTCTTCCATACTTTTAGAACTTCTACTAACTTTTGTTCTGTCCATTTTTATTTCAAGCGATCCAGCACATCCACTCCTTCTCAATGCAAGCTTTTGAAATGAGAAAGGAGTTGGCCGACAAGATCAGGGAGGTCTCTGGTTTGCAGAAGACCCTAAAAAAGACCGAGGGAAAGATGAAGACCTTGTCAGATCAGGCCAAGGCAGCCATCAAGACTAAAGATGAGGCCGAAGAGAAAGCTGATGTTGCCAATGCCATTGCCAAGGTTCTTACTGCAGAAAAGAAAGAGGCCGAAGAAAAGATGGCCGAGGCCTAAAAGGAGCTTCAAGATGCCTTGGCCACAAAAGAGACTGAGATTAAGGCCGCCGATGAGAAGGCTTACGCAGAGGGGGCGGCCGATGTCAAGGAGGACTACAAAAAACAGGTGAAGCAGGCATGCAATAAGGGTTTCACCCTTGGTTGGATGGCCGCCCTGAAAAAGTTAGACGTCCCCGAGGACTCCTCCCTCAAGAACGCCGATGACCTCCCCTGCCATTCCCACCTACTCCAAGCCAATCCGAAAACGATTCTGAGTCTGAGGAGGAAGCCTTGGTTAAGAAAAAGAAGGACGCTGCTGGGGCCAAGTCCCCTATTCTGAACGAGCAAGTCGTGGACTTGTCTCAGGATGAGGAGGGTGAGGTCTCCAAAGACGCTACTCCTGAGAAGGCAACCTCGGACGCGCCTATTGCCGACAAGAGCCTTGACTAAACTCTTCAAGAAATTGATGCCGAGCTCACGGCTGAGAGGGCCACTGAGATGTCTTCTCAGCTGTCTTCTGAACTCCAAAACCAACCAGCCAGAGACGCCGAAGAGTCTTAGTTTGATGTTTTTCTCCTTTTTTCTGTTCCTTGTACTTTTTTCTTTTTTCTTAAAACAATGTAAGCTTTAATTTGGCCGACATGCCATCTTTTGCAATTTGAACAATTACTTTTTAATGTCTGGCCGAAGTGCCTCTTTGTAATTGAACTTCCTTATCTGAATGCAAGTATCAATATACACTTCAACTGTGCAATCTCCTTGGGGTATAACACCTCGGTTAGACAAACCAACGTTTTCATCTCAGCAAGTACGCAAGTACTTTTTTTTCGTTACAACCTTGGCTTAACTTGTAAATTTTTCTAAAAAATTTTAACAAGTGTTTAGCCATGACCTCAGTGTAATTTCAACTTGTAAATTTTTTAAATTTCAACAAGTGTTAAACATGACTTCAGTTTAACGTCAACTTGTAAATTTTTCTCAAATTTCAACAAATGTTAAACATGACCTCGGTTTAACATCAACTTGTAAATTTTTCTCAAATTTCAACAAGTGTTAAACATGACCTCGGTTTAAGCTTCAACTTGTAAATTTTTCTTAAATTTCAACAAGTGTTAAACTAATCTTCCAAGCATCATTTTCTAGTCCTCTGCCCCCTAA